ACTTCCTTTCCCCATTCTATCTGCTCAATATCAAGACCAGTAAATAGTTCACATGATTCATTTACTGAGTGCATGTTATACTTCAATTTCATGCATTTGCAATGACCTTGGAAACGAGGTTCCCACTTTGAACCCCAAATGTAATCTTCACCACAAAATTGACATGTTCCTGAAATCACATCGTAGTAGAGAATTCTATTAGCAAAACGTGAAATGTTTCCATTACACAGACAAGTGACTGTTTGGTATATTTGTTTACTGAATTATTGATAGCTATTTGATCCATGTCAGAGTATATTGATGACAATAGTTGAGGATAATTAACATTCTGACTGATACACGTACAGGTAGGTCTGTACAGTAATCTAATACCTTGGCTTCTGATCCTACTGTGTTTAACAGGAACAGATCATTGGAATTGAATAGCTTTTCACCAATACTGAGAAAATAACTAATTGCATGGACTGTAGACTAACAGGGAAAACTTGTATTAGGTAAATTGGAGGTTTTCATTAGGTGTGAAATGGTAATTCAGGAAAGATTCACTAAAATTTGACATAACAACAGTACGCTGCACACCCGCTGTGGGTGTGATGCAGGTGTAAGTTTCATCAATACTACTGTCAACGCAAAATCTCCGTAGGTTATCCAGGTAATAAGTTTGAAATTTTACAATTTTACTGAAAATCTGCACTGTAATTCCAGCTTGACCTACGGGTTACATGACAGAAAACAAATACAGTTCACTAACAAGAGGCCCAATGGACCTGTATTGCTCACCTGGTACTAATTTCACACTTGTAATCTTGAAAGTGGACTAAAATACAGCTACAGGCAGAATATCAGTGGGACCTTGAATGTCAAACAATGACATTAGGTTGAAAGTGGGTCAAGGTCACTCATTTGAACAAATTTGGTAGCCCTGATTGCTACAGGCCAAATATCAGTACCCTGGGCCTTTTGGTTATTGAGAGGAATCTGATTGAAAAGTTTAAGGCATTTGACACCTGTGACCTTAAAAGCTGGTCAAGGTCATTCATTTGAACACACTTGGTAGCCCTTCATCCCAGCATGCTACTGGCCAAATATCATCACCCTGGGCATTTTGGTTACTGAGAAGAAGTTGTTTAAAGTAAAATGTTGACGACGAAGGGACGACGGACGCCGTACCATGCCATAAGCTCACTTGGTGAGCCAAAAACCTCTTCTGGGTGGGGTTTGCAGATACACTAAACGTTTTATCAAGATGTCTTCTGCAGTTTAACCCTTTCGCTGCCACAGTGAAAACCCTGATTTTCTGTCAGCCCAAGATTTCAGCGTGGTTTTGAAAATGCCCTATTATGACGTTGTTGTACTATGACGTCAACAATGTATGCATAGGCCAAATTACGTTTACTCCAGAAACGCCATGGAAAAATACAATGAATTACTTCATATTCAAACGATCATATAAAACTATTACGATCACCTAGAACTACATGTTATACCTCTATGGAAAGCTTAAATAATTATCTATTACTTTATATAATTACATGTAATTCAGCAGTTAGTGCGCATGTTGCTATACCGGCCGATTTTAAGGTATATTGTAGAAACCTGTAGATGTGGAAATGTTTACCATTAGACAACGAATTAAAATGTGTGTACAATCTGTTGTACACAATCATATATGATGCTTTCTATTTCCTGCAATTTAGAAATCCAAGGGTTACAGGCTCAGTACAAAATCGAGAGCGGAAGTCTTTGAACTTGAACGTGCACGCACATAGAACCGGTGAGTCATTTCTCTATTTCGTACATGTATTCGTCTTCTAATCACAGTCAGATACTGCCGGTATTGCTAATAATTATAATATAAAGCCTAATTAATTTGTCGGGATTTAGTGGTGGTTAGGGCGGCAAATTTTGTTTACGTAACAGATACTGATATGACATAAATAAAAAAAATGTGTAACGCTAAAACCTTAGACAACGTTATCCACCAAACTGTGCAGCGTCCAAATGTCCCAAAATGATGTTGAACCATTTTTATTCAATAATATTTTCTTAGATCTTACGAGGAATTTGTAATACAACCAACAGGTTTGACATTCTTCTTGTAAGTTATCAATGGTTTGATTCAGTTAACATAGCTAAGATAAACAAAACAAAGTACCGAATATTTCTGTCGACATTATATTAACTGTTTCACAGTGTTTTTATTGACGTCTTCAAGTTCATAATACAATAACCTATTCTCACTGATTCTTGCTCGCCGAGGCATGTATATCTTTGTCAAAATAGGTTGTTATATGTAATTAGTAACTGTTTGAAGCGACTAAGAGAACCACAGCTCCTTTAAAATTGGAAGAATGTTAACAGAACTCGGCATACGCTAGCGCAATTTACGTACGTGTCATGACGAAAATTGGTGCAAAGGTCAGCAACCAGCACATCTCTTGATTCAATTCTATATATATTTGAATCCGAACGCGCCCCTTGTTACGTTACTAATTATGCACTGGAAACTTTGTTCAGTCTGACTATAGACTTGATCGATTATTTCTGAAAAGTGAAAGAGACATACCTTATGGAACTTTTATGGGAAAAAGATGAAATAAAAAGTGAAAAAAATGAAACAGGGTCCAAACGGACCTCAGACTCTGATATTATTGATCTAGCCAACTTATCTGAACAACTGTATACACGGGCTCAGTCGCGATACAGATAAAATAAAAAATATCTAAGGTGAGGGGTTACTGTGTGTATGAAAGTCTACTACGGAAAATAGGCTTACATCACTGTGAAATGTTTTTGTTTGCAACTGTTTCACCGAAAGCTACTGTATATAAGACAGAAGTTTAGTTAGTTTAAAAAATGATACCAGATAATGAGTATAAAGGATTAGACACCTTGTCCGTGCCATATGTCCACTATAGCCGTATCCAACATCATATCTCCGAGGAATTGAAAGTTCATATGCATCACTTACAGCACGAAAGTCCGCGAATGGTTTCTAATATGCTGATATCGTTGCTCCAAATTTTCACAGAAAGTCCAAGAGAATAGATAAATTTATAAAAAATACCCATACTCTATCACTTGACACCAAAACAGGAAATAGAGTGGAGATCAAATTAGAATATTCAACTGCGTGAAATGCAGGAAACGGTACATGCAGTATGTACTTTGGTGTCGTGATTTTGTTGCTTTTCCTTTATTCTCTGGACGGGTATTTCAAAAAATGGGGAAAGCTTGTCATCTTTTTTAAACACGAGCTTCTAGATTGGGTTCTCATCTTTCCATAGGAATATGATATGTGCGTCTTCGATGCCGATATAATTGTTTACAATGATTGAAATTTGAACATAATCGCCTCACAGAACAAATAGATTCCAGATTGTCTTATGTCACATCAATTGATGACGTCATGGACAATGCCGAGCGTGACGTTAAAATTCGTTAAAAGCTGATCGGTCCAAATCGGCCCTGTGGCAGTCTAAGGGTTAAAAGTTGCCACATTTTTTGAGTGAAAATTGTGCGGCCCTTGACCTAGCTACAGGTGAAGGTCACAGATACCTGCATTAGTAACAATGAAGTTAGACAAAATTAAACATGTACAGTTTGATTGGCAATCGATTAACACCTCTGAAAGAAAGAAAATCTAGAACATCAAACAAATTTGAGAAGAAAATGACTGTATCTCATTTGGAACAAGGCCCAAGTGTGGCCATAACTATATAGATAGGAACACTCTGCATGACCGTATTATCTTCTGTCGTGGAAACCTGTACTGAGCTCAAACGTTGGACATTACAGTATCATAGGATACAGTCAACATGACATTGTATAGATGTATTAAACTTATCAGATGACTCAGTTTACTTGTTGTGAATCGTCTGGTGACATGATCACAATTATTCAAACATGCCAGATAAATTCCAAACTGTATGAAAATTATAAATCTACTTCACACCACCATTATGTACTCGGGTTACACGACAGATTTCCGTGAACCGTTGAACATATCACGCTAACATGCAGTGTTACATCCTGGCACGTCCATATAAACTTCACTGAGGTAACACTGGTTGCCAATTACAAATCATGTTGTATGTATGTAGAATAATCAATATCCGAAAAAATCGAGTATGTCTATATATATACTCTCCAAACAGGATGTACTAAGTAATAAAGGCTCAATAATCATTATTTGGCTATATCTTCTCAACGGATTATAATAAAATTAACATTATAACTGTGCAGGGCTTCCTGCACTTTCACAATTTCTAAACAGGGAAAGTCAAAATTTGATGATATTTACAGACTTTTTCTTTTTGAAGTAATGTTTAAGGATAATTCCACAACTATAACTGTGTTGGATACAAGGGGTTCTTTATATAATAAACTGAGGTAATAACATAGGTCTGCATTTCAATGATGCATAAATTTAAATATTGAACACATCTGTCCAGCTGGCTTTTAATTAGAAATAAACAAAACAAAAATGGAAAAAAGGTTGGCATAGAATTCGTGCAACCTTCAATCTACATCAGAAAAAAAATAAAAAAATAAAAAAATTATTTTTCAACTTATTATCAATTAAGACTGCATCTATCAAATGAGGTAAAATGCACTTTTTATTTAAATGAAATAATAACAAAATTAATTTGTCCAAATTCAGAAGTTAAAACTATACATGCAATCACTTATCAGTTCTTTTACAAAGGATTCTTAAACACCTCAGGTGTAATTGACCACTGGCAAGAAACTAATTAAATTGACACAAAACAAACCATTTCTTTACACCCCGTCTTTACACCAGCGTGGTCAATTAAACGTGCTCAATCACCTAGGCACTTTAAGAAAACAAGTTGATGTTGATTGACGTCGGGAAACCATTAATCAGAGTAAAGGATTTTTAAACGTGTCAAACAAACACCATAGCACTGTAAATTGTAAAATTACCTGGCAATATAAAACAGCAATTTATTAACGAGCCATAAATGAAATATAATTACCTGTACCATTTACACCACGCTGATGTCCTCACTGATTACTTGGGCAAGTATCCTGGAGGATCGAGATCAATTGGGCAAAGATTACAGGGTCTGATTGACAACACATTAAAACTCGGGTCCGTTAGCTATGGATGCTGGACACTCAAGTGCTGCTCTCTCTGTTCCCGTTCTAATTATGACTCGGAATTCCAATCACTCCGACAGCCAGACGACGACAACTCTGGCAAGCAGAAGAAACAAAAGACGCAGTCTTAATGGAGTTAAGTGGAATAATGAGACTGTAGGAAAATATACATACAAAATAGGTGTTTAACGTGCACAGATTGTTGCTGACTTAATCCTAGTGTAACGATCACAGAGCTCGCCAACAAATGGCCGTTGTGTAAGCCCAACCACTACAGGGGTAGGATGAGGCTGGATCACAGCACAGAAGCCAGTGTGTGTTGTGTTTGATTTCCAGTCAATACACACAGGCCTTTAAGCATCAATATCCTGTCTGGTCGGCACCATTGTCAGAGAGTTATAGATCGGTGGTGTGGTAGTGTCACCCCGCTATACACACCATACCAACCTCATACATGGCCAGTAGGGGTAGACCGTCACAACACATTACCTTTTGTTTATATGCATATATACATACACAGTTGTGAACATAGGGGAGACCAGTGAGGGTTTGTAGATATCATTTATCAGACTCAGCTGGCACTTCTATAACCATCCAGGAACTATTTCACCAATACAATATACAGCAAACAATGATATAGATAAATCATTCCAATATAACAATTACAAAACATGATCCATATCCTCATTTTAACTTGTTGGCAGTCAGTTAATATCACAGCTGCTCCTAATAAACATGATGTATGCATTTTTAACCTTCAGCTTGAATGCCACAATTCATAGAAACAAAATATTAAAATTTCATAAAAATACAGTGCATGAATATTTCAACTAACTGCAATTCATCAACTTTTTAGTGAGAAACATATTTTCATATTTAAATGCCTTGTAAAAGAGTATGCACACATAACATATAAACATTGTATACAAAACATTCCAATCAAAAGTTCAAATATGCAGAAACTCACTCGCCACATCAGTTTTTCCTTGCCGACAAGAATACTACAAGAAGATGGTGAAGACTAGTGACAGCCTATTATGTCCAGCAGGGTTAGTTTGTCTTGTACACACAGATGCTCTGTGAACCACAAATACAGATGGTGACATACAATGACAGTACCCTGTACCTAAATATACTCTACATGCTATTTACTATCAAAGATTTGGTCGCAGACAACTTGAATACTGCCAGTTAGCCAGCAATGCTTATGATAGCAATATGCCCAGTATTTTTGTGATTATTTCCTGGGTCCTTTAACTTGGGCACCAATGTAACACAGGTAATTATTTTCCAATGCCTCTACTTGGAATCAAACCTGGGACCTGACAGGTAAACTAGTTTGTTGTTCTAACAAATGAGCCAGAGGAAAATTGTCCCTAGCCAAGACAGTACAAAAGTGGCTAGTATTTTACCAGGTTGACATACACAGGTCTTAGCTCATTTGAATACAAAGTCATTTCAGAAGTATGATACATCAAGGTGGTAGGAAAACGTAATGAATTGTGACAATCATCACAGCCACCACAGACCTACTATCATCACAGTCACCACAGACCTACCATCATCACAGTCACCACAGACACACCATCATCACAGCCACCACAGACCTACCATCATCACAGTCACCACAGACACACCATCATCACAGCAACCACAGACCTACTATCATCACAGTCACCACAGACACCATCATCACAGTCACCACAGACACACCATCATCACAGCCACCACAGACCTACTATTATCACAGTCACCACATACCTACTATCGATCACAGTCACCACAGACCTACTATCATCACAGTCACCACAAAACTACTATCATCACAGTCACCACAAACCTACTATCATCACAGTCACCACAGACCTACTATTATCACAGTCACCACAGACCTACTATCATCACAGTCACCACAGACACCATCATCACAGCCACCACAGACCTACCATCATCACTGTCAGTACATACCTACCATCATCACAGTCAGTACAGACCTACTATCATCACAGTCACTACATACCTACCATCATCACAGTCAGTACATAACTACCATCATCACAGTCACCACAGACCGACCATCATCACTGTCAGTACATACCTACCATCATCACAGTCACCACAGACCTACTATCATCACAGCCACCAAAAACCTACTATCATCACAGTCACCACAGACACCATCATCACAGTCACCGCATACACCATCATCACAGTCACCACATACCTACCAAAATCACAGTCACCACAACCCTACCATCATCACAGTCAGTACATACC